CAAACAAACAAACAAACAAACAAACAAAACCCAAGGACTGCAAGGATGGAAATGCTTTTGCCACTTGGAGTGTAGGGATTCAAATTGCTTAAGAAATAAGTTTATGCTATTGTTTATGAAAGGGATGTGGTGGCTCAGTGGCTTAGATGCTGAGCTTGTGGATCAGAAGATAGGAAGTTTAGCGCTTCAAATCCCTAGCCCCGCGTAACAGAGTGAGCTCCCATTACTTGTCCCAGTTTCTGCCAACCTAACAGTTCAAAAACACGTAAAACTGCAAGTAGAAAAATAAGGACCACCTTTGGTGGGAAGGTAACAGCGCTCTGTGCACTTTCGGCATTGAGTCATGCCGGACACATGACTATGGAGATGTCTTCAGACAGCGCTGGCTCTTCAGCTTTGAAATGGAGATGAGCACTGCCCCATAGAATCGGGAATGACTAGCACATATGTGCAAGGGGAACCTTTACCTTTACCTATTGTTTATGATGTTCTCATAAAAGAGTTAATGTTTGGTGCTCCTTCAGCCGGTTTCTTTTCAATGTATACTGTTTTCTGGTGCAAAGTTCCTGCAGACCAGTAAACTTTAGAGTGGGGAGGAATAAGCTTACATTTTGAAACAGGACATTAGTAAGTACAGATTTGTGGACAATCTTGTCCACAAAAATAATTCTGGGCCCTTTGACAACATATTTCCTACATAAGGCTCCAAATCAATGTTTTTTCAAACTTGGCAACTTTAAGATGCAAGGACTTTAGCTGCCAGAATACCCATGCTGGCCGGAGAATTCTGGCAGTTGAAGTTCACACATTTCAAGGTTGCCTGGTTTGAAAAACACTGCTCTAAATGCTTATCTAAGAAATGTAGTCAGGATAATTTAGCAACCTGATTCAGCCAAGAACATTTAAAAAAAAAAAAAGCAGGTACATCAGGAAAAAAAAAACACACTCACATTTCTCTGCAAGTAAATACAAACTTCTGCCAGTTTTCTTATCTGGTAACTCAAGCTTAAAGGCAGACAAAAATCAGCCTACTGAAACAGCCCTACGATGTTTTCTATATCCTTGGCAAATATTCAAAATGTACTAAGTTTAGTTATATTTTCTGTCTTGGGCTAAGCCTTATTTTCTTTATTTTCTCTACCTTCTATACAAGTTTTGATACAGAGTGAGTTCCACTTTCATGTATATGTCAGCCTGTGTTCATGAACTTACATTTCTTTCTTTATAAACTTCTTGGGATGTGTAATATTTTGAATTGTCTTTTTATAATCTGTACTATTTCAGGCAGAGGGCTATTCTCTTTTAGCTCAAACTGTCCAGAATATTGTTTTTTCATCTGGATTTGTTAAAAATTAATTTCCAAGCTGCTGTGTTCTAGGGAGGTTTGCAATGATCTCCTTTCACATGGAAGGTCCGCATGTTAATACTTATAGTTTAAAAAGCAGGATTACATTTAATCTTTTTGTTGCTTTATAATAAAGTTTTGTTTTGTTTATCTCTTACAAGGAAAGTGATGAAGAAAGGAAGGACTGTCCTCTAGTTATCACATCTATACATGTCTAGGAAGTGGCACTGTCTCTATTTTCTCTATTTTAACTTTTAATCCTTAGAATGAAATAGGAATCCTACCTCTAATTGATACTAGAATTAAGGTGCAAGTACCAGATAAAATGTCCCTCTAGAAGACAGGGGTAATAGCAAGAATGCCAAAGCAGGTGGGGCATCAAATGTGAAGATCAGAGAACCTCTGAGAGAGATGGTTTGGTATCTCCAGTCTTTCGCCCTGCAAGCCTTAGCATTCATTACAGATATGTACAGGTAGTCCTCATTCAATGACTGCCCTATTTAGTGACTGTTTGAAGCTACTACTGAAAAAATAACACTGTATGACCAATTCTTGGTGTAGCATCCCTGTATCTCCCATGTGATCATCATTCAGGGGCTGTGCAATCACTGGGCATTTATGACTGTTGCAGTATTTCAAAAGCACGTGATCACCATTTGTGAGCTTCACAGTAGGCTTCCAATAAACAGAGTCAATGGAGAAGCTAGCAGTAAAATTGCAATTGTGGCCATGTGATGTCTCATTTAACAATAATGGTGTGATCACATGATGTCGCACTTATTGTATCACTTGGGCATTGTGGTCATATATTTCCCAATCAATTCTGCCAAGTGATATCCATTAATTTAGAAGTATTTTAATATTGTCAGGCAAACTAATCACCAATAAATCTATCTACTGGGTTCCAGAAACATTTTAAAAATATCATATTGCGGCTTGAACATCCTTGCTCAAGTTCAGAAAACCAGCATGTTTAAAGCAAGTGTTGATTCCGATCCTATNTCATCAACGTCCTTCAGTTAAGGGATAATCCAAATAACATAGTCCAGTATCATATAATCAGTTCATTACTCAAAGTTTTCTAGCAGTTGCAAAACTTAGAATAGCTCACGGCACTCAGATCAGATCAGCCCAGCATCTATCGAACAGAGAGCTAACAGACATTCTGGCTCCCTCTTATGGCCGATCGAGGAAAACAGCAACCAATCACATTTTACAGTATGATTTGAAGAAACAGGTACAACATGGTTACATGATTTATATATTGTCAACCCAACCGTTAGATTATATTCCTAACAATAATCAAAGAACTAGCAAAGAGAAAATTACACTTTCGCTAAAACTGACAAACTATTAAAACTATTGTGTATAAACAAAGGGCAAATGCCACACTCACTGACAGTGATAATGTTACCTAAACTAAGCTATAAAACAACAGGTTCAAAATTAAGCACATCACTTAGTCCTTAACTCAGTATTGTGCAAACATTGCCAGGAACAGTTGGAAGAATGAGTTCTTTTTCATTTCAGATTACAATTGAACTGAAGAAGAATTCAAGTGGGCAATATGTTTGTTTTGGATTAGGTGTGAAGATTGCAAGTTCCAAGCCAAGAAATTGGAAACAGTGATGTAATAATTATAAATAAGCTTATAGATAATGAGTGCACTCCCTGTTGGGAATGCAGATGGTATTTACTTAGATGATTTAGTGTTAAATTAATCCTATGACACCCACATTAATCCATATATTTCCCATCTTCCTAGGCATCTACAGTGAACTGTTAGAACTATGAAAACATAAGCACAAACTATAAAAGCAAAAACTCCACCCCTAAGTATTTACAGGCTGACAGCTGATGCAGGTAAACAAGTCATGTGATATCATGATGCACCTTTTGTGGACAGCAAGTGATTTGTGAGTGTTCATGTCCTTCCTTCATTTTTTTTTAAATTAAATTAATTTTATTTTATTGATTTTATATCTCAACTGTTTTGTCCAATGGTAACTTAAATTAGTTATTTCCTATTTTAATCCAGATACTTGAACCATCCAGAGATAAGATACTTCCATCCCTAGTTTGGGATGAAGACGCACTGCCCCAGAGAGACCTGGGGTGCAATCTGGATGTCCTCCTAGACTCATGGCTCCTGCTCAAAGAGCAGGTGGCAGCCATGGATAGGAGAGAGTTTTAACATTTAGGGGGCAGCATCTCTGCATTTGTGAATTTCAACCTACCTCATTGAATCAGTCAATAGGGGGAGGAGAAAGAAGGGAGGAGGGAAGAATATATCACCAAAACTATTACACTAACTACACAACCATTTCTGAATGTAAGGGCTGACAGTATTAATTTACATACCACTGGCCGGTGTACATCCCAGAATGCTCTCTCCTGGCTATCAAGGATTTTTCTTTCTATCTTGTCCCTTTTCTTGTCCACTCTGTAGATGATGAGGTGGATAATAAGTAACATAAAAAGATAAATTGAAATGCCTCGAAAGACAGCAGACGACAAATCAAGCAATAAAATGTCTGTGGCTACTCACTTGGCTTGTGCTTCTGCTTGCATAAAAATAAATTCCCACTTCCGTGCAAATGCTCGTTGCAACCTGGCCAAGCTTTCCTGAAAACACAGCACATATTAGCAAGTTCCTTGAATAGGAAGAACTTTGGAGAGTTTGTAATCTTCATTACATAAATGTAATTTAGATCCAAGTCGTTGCAATTTTCTTCTGACATATCAAGATTCCAAATAAGGCTTGCCTGAGTAGGTGACAAGATTCTAGAATCCTGAGCAGGGTCTGACATCGTTAGTACTTTTATGGGAGACCACCAGAAAACCTCACAATTGTAAACTACACCGGAAAGCTGAAGATACCTCCTGAGAGAACGTAACAGTCATCCATTTCATTGTCAATGTAAAGAAAACTAGATGGATAGACCCATCATTTTAAAAATGAGAAGCTATGACTTTGTTCACTGAAATGTTTCAGTTCACAGACCCTATATTTCCCAGGCATTCCTTTGTCCCTGTCAAATTCTGCCTTCTCTCTCCAGTTCTAAATGAGATGGGAACTTGTTTTCTTTTGTTATTGGAAGCATGATTTATACATCTTGCACATCTGTGCTCTCAAGCTAAAAAAAAGTGGATCAAGACCAATCTTTATAAATTAATAGTGGTTTTCTCCCACAGATCAGACCTGGTTCTAAAAATTGCTATGTAAAAAAATAAATACTGTGTTCACACAGTGATCTACTTCTAGAAAGATGCAACAATTCTCCTCCTTCAGTTCCATAGCAAATCAATGCACTTTTCTATTCCTACAATAGCATCAGAGATGGTATTCAGCCAGTTCTCTCCAGTTCGGGCGAACTGGTAGTGGTGGTTGTGGGAGGCTCTGATCACCTGCCCCAATGTCATGGGTGAGCACTGCGCAAATGCAGAAGGCAGTGCACATGCGCAGATATTTGTGAACCGGTAGGGAAGGTAAGTGAATCCCACTGCTGAGTAGCATGCTATAAATATATAGGCTCTGAGCACTAAGTGCATGCTTTTGGGGATAAAAAAACACACTGTCCCCTATTTGAAGTGTGGACACAACCAGTAAACAGGTTGGCAGTAAAATAAAATTGCACTGACTTTCCAATCTGTATTCTTGCAGTGGAAAGGAAAGAAATCACCCTCAATTTTAGACAGTGTGAGTAGAGCATTCAGAGTGAGCTGTTCTCTGATGAAGCTTTCTGAGTTAGAGTCAACATAGACCAAAGCCGGTTTCTGTAACACATACATATGGGACCCTTGGCTGTTGTTACCAATGTTTCTAAACATTTTAGAGCTCTGCATGGGGATGACTATAAGTCTTCTGCAATTTAAGTGAAATGATCTCTCTTTTTGCCATGATGCTGTTCAGTCTTTTTAAAGACAATATTACCCCATAGACCCGTGATGGCGAACCTATGGCACATGTGCCAGAGGTGGCACAGAGAGCCCTCTCTGTGGGCATGTGCGTCATTGCCAGCTGCGCTTCTGGTTTTTGACACACCGGCCAGCTGGTCTCTGTGGACACCTGAGCGCCGGAAAATGGCCTGAAAACAGCCCCAAAAATGGCCCAAACCCAGGCCATTTTTCAGGCCCTTTTCGGGCTATCTTTTTGGGCCTTTTGGGGGGCCAAAAATGGCCTGAAAATGGTCTGAAAACATCCAAAAACCAGCCAAAACTAGCCAAAAAGCAGACATGCACCTGCTGGACAGCTGGTCTTTGGGTTTCTGATGCTCCAGCACACGCATGCGTACCGGCCAGCTGGTCTTTAGGTTTCTGGTGTATCGGCATGCGCCCATGCCTGTGCATGCACTCATGTTCCAATTTGGGTGTTCAGTGCTGAAAAGGTTCACCATCATTGCCATAGACTCTGCCATTCTTTTTTAATGTGCTTGTGAGGCTTCAATATCAATGCCTTCCTGCAAGTTGAAGCCACAAAATATCTTTTTTTTTAAATCAAGACCAGGATTGTTTCAAGGGCTTTGCTTTTGTTTCTGGCAGAGTTTCCAAGTCTCATGACCCAATTTTCAAGTCTCGCTTCTAGGAAAGGGTCCAGGTACTTACTGCTTCATAGTCTGCTAGCTCAAGCCGTGCTTTGTTTTGCATTGTTCGCTTGCAGAGGTAAACCGCTGGAACACACAAAAAAAGAATCAATCAATTTCTTGCTATCTCAGATACTATCTGAAAGCCCAGACATCAAGACCTAAAGCTTTAATATATGTTTCATTGAGTAAAAAGGTTCTGACTGTCAGAGCTTTCTCTGTGTTTCTTTTCAAAACATGATGATCTGCCAAAAAGCATTAAAATGCAGTAGGTGTCAAAAGCAACTAGCCATTGTCTGGCAGTCTGTCTATAAATGAGTGATCAACTAAATTTTGTTTGTTTGCTTTTGCGTTTGCCATTTACTTAAGAAATAATGCGCTGCTACTAAACAAAAAAAAGAATTACAAAGTCTGGCGAGTTTTACAGTCTATGCCTGGAGGTAAGACCCCTCCTGAAGAAGCCGTCTCTGGATCCAGCTGTTCTAAATATCTATCGTCCAGTCTCCAACCTCCCCTTTGTAG